TTTAATATAAAGAGCCTGTCATAATGCACACTGTCAGAGAAGCTGAGTAAAAATGAAATAGCTAGTTGAGTATCAGAAAGGGAACAGTGACTTGGAAGTTATGTGGAGTGAAATTCAGGAAGAGGTGGCTCCCATAACTGGAATTCAAAGAGTTGATAATCCTGGCAAGAATCAGGTTTGTTCAGCTAAATTCAAAAGTAGAAATTCAGGCATATGGCCATCATTAGAGACAAAAGGAAGTTGAAAAACCAGTTGTTGAGGTTTGTATTTCTAATAGATTAGGTATAGCAAAAGGGATTTCTGGCATCTGTGTACTAACTCAGTTTTAATCTTTATTTAAAAATACAGTCTTTGACTCAGCTCATTAAATTGCATTTGGGGTGTGTGTGTGTGTGTGTGTGTGTGTGTGTGTGTGTGTGTGTGTGTATTTTATGTTTTATATTATATATTTAACAGATTTTAAAGAGATTTATAGATACCTTAGCAGTAAGTCCTGTTATTTTGTAGATCCCGTGTTTCAGGCAACAGCATCCTTCACAATAAATAAAGGGCTGCAATGACAGTTACCAAACAGTAATTCGTGTGCTCTGCTTCCAATCATTCTGCAGGAAAGTCAAACGTCCTTCGTTTCTCCCAAATTGTTTGGTGAAGTGCACCTACAGCGGACTTGTCTTCATAACTATTTTCTCCCAGCCTGTTCCAGCTCTGGCTCTCAGTGGAGATCTCTCCATTTCTGTTGAAGCTTAAAAGGGCAGATAGGCCTCTGGTACCAGCCCAAAGCACTTTGCAGTTGCTGGTGTCCATAGGTGCCTGCCCCAAGGCTGCTGAGGTCCTTGCTGAGGCCTTTTCTTCCTGAATGGGGCTGCGGTCTTCACCATCTCTTGGCATTGCTAAGATCGCCAGTGCTAACTCGAGTTCTGCTGAAACCACCTGGTGTTCCAATTCTACTAAAAAAAAAAAATTAAGAGCAACTTCTATTTTGTGTGTAGTATTATTTTATTTACTATTTTAACAAACTTTTATTTAAATTAGTTATAATTAAAATACAAAAAAGTTACGGCTTTACAGAAAAATTGCAAATATAGTACAGAGTTCCTATATATTCCACACCCAGTTCCAGTTTTCCTTTATTATTATTTCCCTTGTATTATTAACATCTTACATTAGTATGGAGCATGTGTCATAATTCATGGACCAATGTTAATAGGTTATTAACTAAAGTCCATATTTTATTCAGATTTCCTTAATTTTTACCTAATGCCCTTTAGCTGTCCCCAGGTCCCATCCAAGTTAGCACATTACATTTAGTCATCACACTTTCTTAGGCTTCTTTTCGCTATGACAGCTTCTCAGACATCTCTTATTTTTTATAACCTTGACAATTTTCAGGAGTACTGGTCGGGTATTTTGTAGAACATCTCTCAGTTGGAATTTGTGTGATGTTTTCCTCATGATTGGATTGGGGTTATGTGTTTGGGGAAAGAAGGTCACAGAAGGGCCATTTTCATTACATTATATCAAGGGTACCTACTATCAACATAACATCACTGTTGAGGTTAACCTTGATCTTCTGAGGGAGGTAATGTTTGTCAGGTTTCTCCACTGCAAAGTTACTCTTTCCTGCCCTCCTCCCTTCCTGTACTATTCTCTTCGAAAGGAAGTCAATATGCACAAACCACACCTAACAAGTGAGGAGCTATGCTCAGCCTCCTTGAAGGTAAAGTATCTACATACATTATTGAAAATTCTTTTGCAGAAGAGAGTTTTATATTCTCTCCCATTTATTTATCCTATTATTTATGAGGTAGGACAATTAGGTTCACAAACTCATCCTAGAAAAAGTGCTACATACCTCATTGCTGAATATCACTATGGTCACCTTTGAAGTACTCCCCTT